TTTGTTACAGAGCTGGAGGATGAGACGGTGGGACTGGACTTGATGGGGTCGAAAAAGGAGAGTGAAGTTGAAATTTCCAATATGCTTTACTTGACTACTTGCTTCTCTAGCAGGCTGGCCTCATGGGTTCCCAGGAAATGCCTGCTGGAGTTTGGAGCTAAGATAAAGTGCTGAGTGGTGGTGGTGATTTAAGGGTGGGGGGATTTAAGGGAAAGATGCAATATTCACTGGAGATGGGGGCAGGGTGATAAAGGAAGCCACAACAGGGCATCTGCTACAGAGCTGGGAATGAGACTGCAGGATTAGATTTGGAGGAGAGGAGGAAGAGGTGAAGATTTGCAGATAGCCTACCAATGTAGTAGCTTCTTGAACTATCTGACAAATTCAAAGTTGCCCCCACACTTTCCCTTTACTAATCTGTCCACCTAAATGATTTTCTTCACCCCCATTCTGTTGAAAACTACATGTAGTAACTTGAAGTTCTGGATATGTTTGTGGTATAGCTTAGCTTGGACTTTCACTTTCTTTGAGGCAATGGAGTTATGAAATAGCATGTCAATAAACTGAGGGGAGGCCACCCCAAGCACTATTTTTTTGTGTCAGATTCAGCTGCAGAGACTCACTATTCAGGGCAACATGAATGCAATGCTTAATTAGGTTATGACTGATGACTGACATAGAGTATATAGTTACTGCCATTTTTGATCCTAGGTAGATGGCATCTGCTGGCTATGCCTGCATCTGATTTAGTTTTCCTCTTGTCTAGTTTTAAAACTGGGTTGTTTAGGGCTTTGTTTGTTCACTGGTTTGCTTTTGCTGTTGAGTCGAATGAGTTACTTGTGCATTTTCTACATTTACTCTTATTGGGTATATGGTTTAAAAATAATCTCTTTCATTCTGTAGGTTGCCTTCCATTCTGTTAATCACTTCCTTTTCTGTGCAAAAAATGCTTTTCATAGTGTCACTGGTTTAGTTCAGCTTTCATTGTCTGTGTGTGGAGTGGTGAATCTGCTCAGAAAACTTTATTCTGTTTTCTAGTCCGTGGCCTTATATTAACTCTTCATTCCATTTTGAATTGATTTGTGTATATGATGTACAGTAAAGATCTAATTTCTTTACACATGAAGATCTTGATATCCACAAATCACTGTGGTAGTTATTGTCAACTTGGCAAAAGCTAGAGCTAGAGCTGTCTGAGAACAGGGAACCACAATGTAAAAATGTCCCTATAAAATTGGCCTATGAACCAGCCTGTGGGGCATTTTCTTGACTAATAATAGTTAAATGTCTGAAGGCTCAGCTCACTGGCGATGGTGCCATCCCTGGGCTGGTGGTCCTACTAAAAGACAGAAGTCTGAGCAACCCAGGGTGACCAAGCCAGTAAAGCAGCACTCTTCAATGGCTTCTACTTCAGTTTCATTCTCCTGAGACTTTTTTCAGTGATAGACTGTGATGTGAACCCATAAGGTGAGATAACCCCTTTTCTTCCTAGTTCATGGTGTTTTATCACAAGCAATAGAAACCCTAACTGAGACAATCACTTATCAGAAAAAAATATCAATTCTTCCTGCGTATTCTTGGTGTATTTTTTTGAGACTTGGTTAATTATGTACACTTGAGTTTGTGCCTGGCTTTCTATTGTGTTCCATTGTCATAGAAACCAGGTTTTATTCCAGTGCTACACTGACATGATTATCAGTGATTTCTAATTTAAAATCAGAGAAGTGATGTGTGCATCTTTGTTCTAGGTCAATATTACTTCAACTATTTGGAATTAGGTATTTGACAAATGATGAATGCCAATACGGTGGGGACTATTGGACTGCTGGAACAACTTGACATAAACATATCAAAGCCAGAAACTTGAAACAGACCTTACACCATTTATAATGTTTAACTCAAAGTGAAATTCAGGATGGAGCTGACCCAGAAAAATGATCCCTGGTCAGTGTGCTAGGCTATGTGAAGGCCTGTCTGAAACAAGTCCAGGATGGTGAGGAGAGCAACATTTTTTTTTTGAGACAGAGTTTCACTATGTGACTCTGTCTCACTGTGAGTTCAGAATATAGGTGACAAGGTGTGAAAATTCCTGCTACAAAGAATGATGCTGCTTTGAAAGCCACACATTATCTATTATGAACAAGACATCATTTTGGCAAATGATTTAGGAGTTAATGATTGTACTCCATTAATTTTAAATTCAGATGAGCACTATGAGAGTTTTGCAAATCCCTTTTCCCCTATAATTTTTTCTCATACAAGAATCTGCTTGTAACACCCACTCCTCCAAAAGTAACAGCAATTCCAAGAGCTATTCTCCAGATGCTTTCAAAACACAAGTCAAACCTTGCTGCTTCAGGAGCAGGTAAAGCAGAGCCAGCCAGGAATGGGTTCCTGAAAGCACTTGAGAGGCTGCTGTGGTATGAGAGACATTTCCTGGGAGGATGAAACACACACACACACACGAGCACACACATGAACATGCACATATACACATGTGTGCACACACATCCATGCACACATATACCCACATGCACACACATGAACATGCATACACGCACACATATACACATACATGCACATGCACACACATGGACAAGTACATATGTGCACACACACATACACACACATGCATATACACACATGCAGGCACCCTGACAGGTATAAATGATATTTCAGCAGCTTAGCAGCCTCTCCTCCCCTAGCAGCTGTTCACTGCTTCTATAATGTTGGAAAGAGGCCCTCCTGAATCTGGAAAGTTTGTTCTCTCCTAGATATGTGAAGTTCCATTTACCTCCTGACTCTCGAAGTTCAGTAAGGGATCCTCTCCCAAGAGAATGAGACAGTGGCAGAGCAGGACACCTAACATCCTCATCCTCTGCTGGCCTCTGAAGGTACACACATGCACATATATGGGCAGATATATCATGCATGCTCCCCTATACACACACACACACACACACACACACACACACACACACACACACACACACACGAGAGAGAGAGAGAGAGAGAGAGAGAGAGAGAGAGCTCAAAGTGGAAGGAAAAGCAATAGCTTGTAAACACTATTGTCTACTTAGCTGACACTTGGAAATTTGGCCCCAGATTACTTTTTCAGATTTTACCCATCACACTCACCAGAGGAAACTGCATCATTCCCTAGCCCAGAGAATGATTTAAAAATAGATTAAACCAATGATGTTACATTCTCCTTGCATGTAACATAATCAGGGTGAATATGATCTGTAGGAATGTCTGGAAAAACAGGAAAACTTTCTGGAGAGTGTTTTACTACTTTAAAAAGAAATGTCTGACTAACATAGGTAATTTAGTCTCAGAATGAAAGACCATACTGCATTAGAGACAGCCTTTTAATTCGCTTCTGTGTCTTTAGAACTTTTACATACATATGCAGTGTGGGAAGCTGCTAAAGCCATTTGGTGAGCATGAAACAAGTGGCTTACAGGTCAAAAATAGTGTCTTGCTTCCATTGCTGTGATAAAGACAATGACTACAGGAAACCTGGGGAAGAAAATGTTGATTTCATCTTTCACTTTTAGGTTAGAAGAAAGTCAGGAATGGAACCTGGAGGCAGGAACTGAGGCAGGGTCCATGGAGGAATACTGCCAATTAATTACCTTGCTCCTCATGGCTTGCTCAGTCTTCTTTCTTTTACAGTCCAGGACCAACCTGTATAGGAGTGGCATTACCCACAGTGGGTTGGTTCCTTTCACATCAGTTATTAATCAAGAAAATGCCCCTACAGCCTTGCCTACAGGGCAATCTGATAGAGACGAATCAGTTCCTGCATTGAGATTCCCTCTTCCCAGATACATCTAGGGTCATGTCAGGTTGACAAAAACAATCAGCAGGACAGTAAAACATATTAATGAGAGAAAATTGAATGAATTTTATTAAGTTATTAGAATTACCAGTGATACGACTGACTTAAAATTTTATTCACACACACACACACACACACACACACACACACACACACACACACACACACACAGTATTATTCAGTCTGGTTTCCATTTTTAAATCATCGTCTCAGAGATATGTTTTACTATTTGACTGAGAACAGAGTTTAAGATTTGGAGAAGCTTGGTCCAGTTTTGGAAAACACAATCCACATATAAATCCAATGATTTTGCTAGGGCATATAGAGAGAAATGCACTCACAAAATATATGGGTAAGGGGTTCACTTTTTAGTTGTTTTTTTTTTTTACCATGTATAAAAAAAATTAACTTTGCTTTTAGGAATGAGGCATCCTATTTTCTTGACGCTAGCATTAAAAAAAGTTGAGTATAGTACCTAATACATGGTGTGCTTTTTACACTTCTCTGCCTGCAATACTAACTCTTTCTTCTTGTGACTTAATTCTAATTCATCTGGTAAAACTCAGTTTAGCCTATCCTCCAGGAAGCCTTCAGCTTTCCCTAGGTACCCCCCCAAGATTGCTTCCTTTTTGTTCCTACAAGACTGTTCTTTTCTTATCCATAACAGTTAAACACTCACAGTAAATTTATTTCTTCCCAAGAAAGAAAAACGTTTGCAGTATTTCTTTCTTTTCAGCACTTAGCATACTATTTGACATAGTATGCTATAGGATTATGTGCATTAAAGTTCTGCATTGAAAAAAAAAAAAATCCATTCAGAGTGGATGTGGTTGTTCACACCTGTGATCCAGCACTCCAGAGGCTGACAAAGAAGGATATAAATTTCAAGGCTAGCCTAGGCTTCTTATAAGAAGGCCCTGCTTCAGAAACAAACAACGAAATCCTTAGAAAGCATTCATGTCACTGTCATTACAAAATGTTTACTCGCTCTGCTGGAACCAAGATGAACAAAATTTCTCCTATCACCGCCACCACCACCTTTGTTTCTCACCCCCTCCCCCTTCCTAGCTTCCCCTCTCCTTTGCTTTGCTTCTTCCTCAGACTGCAGAGTAGGGAGGCCGGCCCTAGAGGAAGTCAAGTATGTCATAGCAGGGGAGGAGGGTCTACAGGACTGCTAGTTTTACAGAGGAAAACTCAAATCAAGCACCAAAGCACACAGCAAGAGAGAGGAAGAACCGAAAGGCATTCCTCAGTGGAGCTCAGCCCTCAGAGCAACGAAGCCTTGGCTTGGCAGTACCTCGCTGGCTGAAGATTCAAGGTAACTAACTATTCAATCGTCTTTCCTTTCCAGTCCATTGCTTCTGGAATTCTGTAGCTTCTGCATTTGCGCGGGGGCTAAGCATGTCTGTTGTTTCTCTATTGCGAGAGGATCTACTGTGAAAGCGGTGTCTAGAGAGCAGCTTAGAGCTCCAAAGGTGGCCGAGGCTCTTTCTGAGGAGAAATCCAGAAAATTCAGATAGTTTTCCAGCTTCTGGTAAATTTTGAAGGATTTTAATTGGTTTCGATGCATCTGGAAGCTAACATTGGCTTTTATGAGCGGATAAAAGTCACAGAAGCAAGCTAGTGGGAAGCGAAAGGGGATATTGCTGAGGCAAAGAACTGTTTCTGAATTCTTGAAGTTGTTTTCCCCCTTTGCTTACACTTTCAGCTCAGCTGTTAACTACTTTGATTTCTTGGATCTTCGAATTGGAGCAGCAGAAAAGGTGGGGATCGCTTTTCTTATTTAAATATGTGGGTTTGCTGTTACAAAGGAATGAATATCGAAAACACATTGGTATAAAAGAGGAGAGGGACAGAAGCCAGTAGAGACAGAAAAGAAAGTAACGGACTCCAGAAGAAAATGGAGGGAGGGAGGAAAGAGGGATTAGGACATAGGGATCTCAAGCTTAATAAAATCGGAAACCGTTTATTTATAAAGTGTCTGAATTTCTCAGAAATGTCTTCCTTCCCATTTTCAGACAGTCTCGCATCATATTCATGAGCATACAGTATGGTGTACTTTGCTGTAGCTGACTTTTGTCTTTGAAAAACATGGTTCTTGGTCACAAGTAGAATTATTCAGAGCCAGAAGGAAGAGAGACATTGGCTAGTTTCCTCGCCTTTGAAAACACTAGCATACACAACTCAGTTCTTCCGGGCTTGGAGGACAACTGCTTTTATCTATCTTCTCTACAGCCTGGTTTAAGCCATTTGTATTATGTCACCTCCTTTACTTCCTCCTTACAGGGACTCTTAGTTCCTTGGTTTACCGAGGGGACTACCAAAAAACCCTTATCAGTGTTGGGTTTATTCATGAAGGAGTAAATGAGGCATTTCAGGATTTCTTAAAAGGCTGCCCTCTGCCCCCAGAAGCACCCCCCACCTCAAAGGGAAAAAAGCATTTCAGAAACTGGCTGGTGATTTGATTAAAAGAACTCTTGTGTCTGTTGCTTGTTTGTTTCCCCATGAGCATAAGCCGCTCACCAGGAAACACTGGGATGGAGAAAAGGAGAAAGAAGTTTTCCATTGTGAAAACATGCAAACAGATAAACATTTTCCATTGTGCAAACATGCAAACAGATAAACATCTTCCTGTTCCTGGACTATGTCCTTCCTGACTTCATGTTGTAATGCACAAGGGGCTGTTCCCCAGCTAGATTTGTTCATTATTAAAAGACATTACTTCCTTGTTCTTTCTAAAAAGCAAAACAAAACAAACAAACAAACAAAAAAAACCCCAAACCAATACAACCAAACAAACAAACACATTGAAATTCTTGGCTATAAGGAATAATATCACAAGTAGATTTTCAGAGTAAAATTTCTTTCTATTTATGTTTAAAAACATGTTTGAGAAAGGCAGCAATTGAAGTTCTGTCCTGACTTTGGTTCTAATTTTTTCTCCCAGAAATTTGAAATTGGCTATGACTGCTTTGTTAAGATGAGTGCCAAAATGGGCTAACTAGTTTGACTCCCTAAAGAAGTGCTTCTCAACTTTCCTAAAGCTGAGACCCTTTAATACAGTTCCTCATGTTGTGTTGACCTCCAACTATAAAATTATTTTGTTGCTACTTCATAATTGTAACTTTGCCACTGTTATGAATTGTAATGTAAAATCTGATATGCAGGATATTTGATATGCAACCCCTTTAAAGGGCCATTTGAACCCCAAAGGGGTGCAACCCACAGATTAAGAAGAACCACTGCCCTGGATTGCCTATGGCTCTGATTCATAAGATTTTGGATCATTGGCTAATAACTGAAGTTTTCAGGGCTGCAGTCTGGGTTCTGGCAGCCTCTGTCCCAATATGGCAGTTAGAGAAACAAGTAATTGTGGAAACAGATTTATTCAGTTCATCCACACTAAGAAGAGGGAGAATTGGTATAAAGGGCAAGAAGCATGTATAATTAAAGAGCCTTAGTCAAGATGTAGTCTGCTTGACCATTTCAGCTTTGGTCCTATAAGGTAACCTGAAGAAACCTTATTGTGTGGAGGGATCAGTATGGTTCTTCTTATTTCTGCTCCAAAATGGACTGTTTTGATTTATTTCCCTTTTCTGGAGGGTGGTTTGTTTCTGCCACTCCATCCCTGGAATCCAAGATGACTCAAAAGGAAAGGTAAAAGAAAATGACTGATCCAAGTACCTTCAGCTAAGGTAAAGGAGACAGACATGCAGTATACAGACAGGTATCAGACTTTCTCCTTGGTTTCAGTTAACCTGTGGGCCCAATGAGTCAATGCTTTTTGAGCAAGAGTGGTTTTTAAGTGCCTATTTCACGTTGACTTGTACAGAAGTATACCTAAAGCAATACAGAGAAAATTTACACTGCTGTTTCTTAAATTGTGCTGTAAAATGATGTGCTCAATGGCGGAAAACATTTTCAACTTTTGATAGTATTTTTTAAAGAATAACACCTTTTGAATTCAGAAATCTTCAAAATTGATTACACTTCTTTTTCACATACATGCATTCAAAGTGGATTGATATAAATTGATTTCTACTCATGTTCTCTGGGATTATGAAATTAATGGTATTATTGTAACAGGTGTTTGTTGGTGATTTACTCACCATCTAATGGTTACTCCAAACTTGCTACCTATCAAGCTCACAGCACTGCTAACCCAAAGAAATATAGATGGAGATTACCTTCTATCTGAGGATATATTAGCCACAGACAGCTACACAAATAAGCAATTCCAGAATGTGGTCAAGTGTTGCAGTACAAATATTCCTAAACTGCATCAGTAACACAGAATATAATGGGGTGGGGTTAAAAGTTAAATGAGGGGGTTGGACAGATAGCTCTGTGCTCAAGAGCACTGGCTGCTCTTCCAGAGGACCTGGGTTCAATTCCCAGCACTCATAAGGCAGCTCACAACTGTCTATAAATCTACTTCCAGGAGATCTGACACACTCACACAGATATACATGCAAGCAAAACACTAATAAAATAAAAAGATAATTTAAAAAATAGATTTAAAAAGGAAATTAGACAGGACAGTTTGTTTGAGCAACATCTCAATGAATTGCTGTGACACATTGAGTACCATCTCAATGGAAGGCAATCATTCACCATGTTTTCTAAACCAGTGGTTTAGAAACCCCTTCGAGGGTGACGGGCTTTGCATAACAGATATCCTTCATATCATATATTTAAATTATGATTAATAACAGTAGTAAAATGATAGTGATAAAGTAGCAATGAAAATCATTTTATGGTTGGGGGTCAGCACAACATGAGGAACTATATTAAAGGGTTGCAGCATTAGGAAGGATGAGAACCACTGCTCTAAGATGAGCTCAGGAAGCTAACATAATCAATCATCTGGTAAGTCCTTACTATGTAGCAAACACTGTATATTAAGTACTTATATGTATTGTATACAATTTCCTTATCTTATTGATCAGTTTCTTTTTCTGTATCCATTTTCTGGATAAAGACATTGAAGCTCAGAGAAGAAAATACACAGTTTGCCCAAAGTTACCCAGCTAATAACTGGCGGAATCAGGACTCTAGTTCAAACCTCCACCTTCTCTTATTATTTCGCAAGAAGAGAGCAGAGAGGGATTGAATTAGTAGAATGAATTAAAAGGCCATTTCAATAATACAGAACCCAGGTTTTAGGCACGTGGGCATGAAAAAGTGGATGAGCTTGAAGGACTGGGTATGGGTCCAAAGTGGGTTAATGTCTCCATCCTTTTGAAGGAAAAGAGAACTTGAATTAATAAGCTAAGAGCAAAGCAAAGGCCAGCTTATGCAATTTCTGAGCTCATATTTTTGCCTTAATTTTCTTTTCTCATAGTTTCCAGATTAATTTTTTAAAAATTAATTTAGCTTATATTATTAACCCGTGTTCATTGTAAAAATGGTGAATTATGTGTGGGAATTTTTCTTAGCTGATGAAGCATTTATTTTTATTACCCACAAACTGTTCAATAATAGATTAAAATCTGTCCAATATCTAACTAAAAAGTAGTTATGTGGGTATCTAAACTCAGGCAGAAGACAACAGAGCTTGTTATTAACAACTCTATTCTAGTGACTCCTTTTGATTATATCTGCTAATGTATGAAAAACATGTTTATGTCACTTGTGGCCTAGCACATAAGTTATATATTAAATATTCTTATTATTAAAGAGGAGATGTAACTAGCTTATAGTTTTGAGTTTCCCATTAAGAGATTTGGATTTGACATATAGGTAAATTGGAACCATTTAATAACAGTAAACAGAGAAGATGACATAGCAACTGATTTGGTAGCAGAATATTTTGTGTTGGGCAGTAGAAAAGAGGCGAAGCAGTTGGGAGGCTCTTACATTAGTGCCCAATATAAAACAAATGTCAGTAGTAATAATGTGCATCCAAGAGACATGACAAAGGAATGCTTTCTAGGTTAGTGACAAATATGGATAAGAAGGAGGGATGAATCAATGTGATGACTCATCATTTATAATTTCAATGTAGGTGACATAAAATTGTGGTTCTAACAGGAGAAGTCAGAGAATGTGACCTATTTGTGCTGAAAACATGAAGACAAATAACAATAATTTATATTCTGAAAAACACTTTCATACACACAACACTGATTTTCAGCCTGCTAGAATTGTGGTGCCACCAAAGCAGTCAGCAAGGAGCTGCCAATATGGAGCTGAAGATTAGAAGGCAGGAAAAGGCCAAGACTTGGAAATCACAGATAACATGTACAGGGATGTGTATTAGTACAGGCAGCTAAAAGCAACTTGGGTTTCAGCCACTTGAAGTAGTTGGTAAAATGCGGTGGATGAACATATCAGGGTGTTATGGCATAATTAGAAACAAGAGAATTATATATATATATATATATATACATATATATATATACATATATATGTATATATATATATATTGTGTGTGTGTGTGTGTGTGTGTGTGTGTGTGTGTGTGGTATCTTAATAATATAGTACCAAGAGTGGAAAAATAAAGGAAGAAATACATAATATAATATATATTTAAAAGCATAAAATTAATTTTGTAACAATACATACAAATGAGAAGATGCACACTAAATGTATCTCCATGGTGGTCTGTATTGGGGTCAGAGACAGGAATGTGAATGAGCTGAGTAGATAAAGAAGAAAAATAGAAACATGGAAGAAAGGGGATCCATGATAACCTGCCATGAAATGAAAAAATTTGTCTGATACATGGGCATTTGGAAATAAAATTTAAACATAGAAAGGGCTGGGGTTTTTCTCAATGGTAGAGCTCTTGCCTAGGGTAACAGAAGCTCTCAAAACTGGGGAAAAGTTTGCAAAGCCAAACCATGAAGTCTTTCTATGCTGCCATTCTCAAGTTAACATAGTTACTGAGTAAATGATTGTGTTTTTTTCATGAGTTTATTTCTTTTCCTTTTCAATCAATTAATAAATGTGGTGTGTCCATGTGTGTGTGCGTGTGCGTGTGCCTGTGCGTGCGTGTGTGTGTGTGTGTGTGTGTGTGTGTGTGTGTACATGTTCTAAATTTGGAGGTCAGAGGATAAGATTCAGGAGTCAGTCCCCCCTTGCATATTGTTGAGATGAAATCATTCTTGTTTCTGTTGTGTTACACACTCTACACTAGCTGCCACATGAACTTTTATGAAATTCTCCTGTTCCCACCTCTTAGAAGCATCTGGTATTGCAGGTATATGGCACTGAATCTATGTTTTGATCTGGACTCAGGATCATACAGGTCAATAGGCTTACATGGCTAATGATTTTACATGTTGTGCAATCTCTGCAGCCTTGGGTTTCTTGATATATAGAGTATATGTATGCGGAAAATGAACACTTATGAACAGACTCTTACTTAAAAGTAATATTTTATTTTTTTTTAGGTCAACATGGCCATGCCAGAAAAGTCAAGTTGTGTCAAACAATCTGAGGATTGCAGCAATTTTCCTGAGATTATTGAACTCAATGTAGGTGGCCAGGTATACATAACTCGCTATCCTACTCTAATCAGTATTCCTGGTTCCCTGCTCTGGGAAATGTTCAGTGTAAAGAACCCTTGCTCACTGATCCAGGACAACAAAGGGAGATTCTTCATAGATCGAGATGGTTTTCTCTTTCGTTATGTCCTAGACTACATGAGAGACCTGCAAGTAGTGCTTCCTGACCACTTTCCAGAGTGTGGACGGCTCCATAGAGAAGCAGAATACTTTAAGTTGCCAGAACTGGCCAAGATGCTGGCTGCTAAAATGAACAAGCTCAACTCAGTTGGCAATGACTCATGTCAAATGGATCTAGAAGAGCTTTCGCCCAGCATTGATACCACATTTAATTTCTCTTCAACTAATACCATCCATATTAGTGGCCCTGATAATTCTGTAGTTCTGACAGCTGCCACTGGTTCTGAGCTCAAGAAGCCTGGCTTCATCACTATTGGCTATCGAGGCTCCTATACTCTGGGCAGGGATAGCCAAACAGATGCCAAATTCCGCCGTGTGGCCAGAATCATGGTGTGTGGTAAGATCTCATTAGCCAAAGAAGTGTTTGGAGACACTCTGAATGAGAGCAGAGACCCAGACCGCCCTCCTGAGAGATATACTTCTAGATACTACCTCAAATTCAATTTTCTGGAACAAGCCTTCGACAAACTAGCTGATGCTGGCTTCCACATGGTAGCATGCAACTCCACTGGCACCTGCACTGTCACGCATGATCAAACAGATGACAGAATCTGGACCTCTTACACTGAATATGTTTTCTATCGTGAGTGAAACTTAAAAATCATCCAGGAAATACAAACCCCCAAACAGTATCCCTCCTTTGTTCCCAGGCTAAGTGTATCCCTTAGGAATAGACACACTAAGCACTCTAGTCTCTTGAGTGTCCTGTCTAACCTTGAACAATGCCTCTTGTCTCGTCATAACCACTTGAACATTTGTTGGTTTTCTTCTTACATGTCATTCAAATCTATCTGCCTACCAACCTTCTCTGGACTGTGGAGTGCATTTAATGAAAGGTATGCATCAGTATAGATAGTAAAGGCATATTTCTGGAGTGAATACCATTAAATATAACCACTGAATTAAAAGTGTTTAGAAACGGCGTCCAAGCTGTTTCTTAGTAATACACATTGAACTTTATTATGTACCTTGCTATTTGTATTCACCTAGATAAAAGAGCAACAGGTTACATGTGCTTTGCAGACATTTTACCATGCTGAGTGGAAGAACCTGACAACAGTCCCCTCGGAGATTCATAGACAGGTCGACCAATTCCAAAAAGGACTTTTGATAGAAGCTAGGCAAACTATTGTGTGACTATTATTTCTAAGAATAAAAGTCTTAGCACTTAATTTACTTGCACATGAACAAGGTAGGAAGGAGGTGTATCATAGCTGTTACCTCTGTCTTAAGCAGTGGTGCCATTAAAAAAAAACTGTCCTAAAGTATCTTTCATTAGAATTAAATGCAAGCATATGCAGGGAAGAGAATGATGGGCAAAAATTGCTTTGTTTAAGTATATGCATGTATTAATTAGTTGACTTTTCACTAGTTAAAATAAGTGGCTGTATATAGCAATTGTTAACTTGTTTAACTTTTTTTTGATAGAGTATGGGTGTGTGTTTTGTTTTTCTGGAGGTAGGGATGGGAGACAGGGAGAAGAAAGGAAGAAAACAAGAAAAGAACTAAAAAAAAATAATAATAAAATAAAACCAAAACCAAAACCAAACAAACAACAACAAAAAAAAAAAAAACAAAAAACAAAAAACAAAAAAAACAAAAACCGAAATTCATCTTCTGACTCCTTGCTAATGACTTTTTAGCCCAACAGGTTGAAAGCAAGTGCTCATTCTCACATGAAAACATCAGGGATCTAAGATAGTGAATGAGTAGCAAGAGGGTTTGGGCCAAGTCAAGAAAGAGAGTTTGTTAGGGCTCATTTCAGAGGATCCTCATCACCTTTGTGAAAAGTTTTCCAGCAAGCCAAGTCTGACAGTCCTGTCTTTCCTTTATTCTGCCCCTATTTTACTCTACACCCTTTATTGTTATTATTGTCTTTTCATTCATTTTCTAGTCAGATCTTTTTGAGTTGCAAAATACTAAAACCCACATAAAGTGACTTGAAAAGATTTAAAAGGAGGCTGGAGAGATGGCTCAGAGGTTAAGAGCACTGGTTGCTGTTTCCAGAAGACCCAGGTTCAATTCCCAGCACTCATGTGGCAATTCACAACTGTCTTAAACTCCAGTTCCAGAGGATCTGGCACCATGACACAGATATACATGCAGGCGAAACACCAATGCACATAAATTGAAAAGAATACATCTGAAATAAGGACTTAAAATATGCATGTTGCAGTGTGTGCATTTTAAGTTCACACTTATTTTTTTCTGTTGAGTCTAAAGGAAGAAAATGTAGTCAAATAAAGTCTCAGACAGCTGTTCATAACTGATATTCTCTCTTGTCCCTCAAGGGCCATATGACTGATCATCTCCAAAGCTCGTTAATTTTAGATTTCTCCATGCAGTTCACTTTATTTCCCACAGTTTACAGCTGACCTAAACAGTATGTCACTGAACATGAATTTGTAGCCATCTTCTTCATTTATAACCTCTTTTGTATTTTATTTTATTTTTGTCATTGGTGTTGGGTTTTTTGTTTGTTTGTTTGTTTGTTTGTTTGTTTTAAGACAGGGTTTCTCTGTGTAACACCCCTGGCTTCTTGGAACTCGCTATGTAAATCAGGCTGGCCTCATACTCACAGAAAACTGCCTGTTTCAGCCTTCGAAGTGCTGGGATTAAAGGCATGTGCCACTACCACCCAGCTGTATTTCTTTACACACATATGTATATAAACAAATATAGATATAACAATCATAATTGAAGGAGAATACATTATGAATTTGGGAGGGAGTTGGGAGGACAAAGGAAGAATTGGGAGGGAAGGGAAGGGTGGACACGATGTAAATACAGTACTCATGTATGAAATCTCAAAAAAATTAAAAATCTGAATAATAAAATTTATATAAACCCAGTGTACTTAGAAGTCATTACTGAGCCTAATGTAATACTGGGAGCTTGGAGTGGGGGTGAGTAGTGTACAATAAGAAACCTGTCAGGTCAATCTAAAATAAATGTAGTGAACATTTTGATTTTATAGCAAGAAAAAGGATGTGCATGTTTGTATACAGATTGTAATTCTGTCATTTACAGTGCTGCATGTGCATATTTTCTAGCTCCACCAATTGCAAATCTTTCATATAAACTGAATTACAAGCCTGGCTTAGCTACTGTGGAAGTGATCCCCCTCCTTTCCCAAATGAAAAGGAACATGGTAATAGAAAGTTTATCAAGGCTTCTTTGCTCAGAATGGAGTGTTCTGAAGCCAATGCAAGTTGCCTAGGAATAGTTTTGACTAGAACAAGACCTCAGGATTCAGAATCTTGAATTGAGCATCAGCTGTGATTGCATGCAGCTGTGATGTAGTTTCCTCAGAGTGCCATGGCTGCTAGTGATCACAGCCCTGCCTATCTTCAAAAGAATGACTGTTCTACTATCAGTTTCCCAATCAGCTGTCAATTAGAAAATGAAATCCCACCCTCCAGCTTATTGAAATAACAATAGCTGGGCATGGTGGCACACAACTTTAATCCCTGTACTCAGGAGACAGGGGCAATTTCATCTCTGTGAGCCAGCCTGGTCTATGCATTGAGTACCATGACATGTACATAGTGAGATGCTACTCAAACAAACAAAGATGCTTACAATAAAGACCCAACACAAATTAAAATTCTTCACAGTACCTAACAGCGATTAACTAGCTACCATCCAAGTGTCTTTTTAGAGTATTGTCATTCCTCTGATCTGTCTCACTTTCATTTTTAAAAATACATCTTTTCTTCCTTCTTTCCTTCCTTCATTCCTTCCTTCCTTCCTTTCTTCATTATTTTCTTCTTGAGAGGGCCTCACTCTCTAATCCTGCTGTCCTGGAATTCACTCTGTAGACCAGGCTGTCCTCAAACTCACAGAGATCCACTTGGCCCTACCTCCCAAGTGGTGGAATTAAAGGTATACACCACCACACCTGACTGGATTATTCTTTTTTAATTGGCATACAGAGTGTTAAGGTTCACTGTGGCATTTTCAAACATAATATGTTTTTGTTGATTCTCCTCCGCATTATTCCTTGTAACTCTCTCAATAACTTCTTTTTTGCTTCCATGTCAAATGTGTTCTATTGCTCTACCCATTTCCTTCTAAAGTATGAACATCTGCAAAAGAAGAAAGAGTGTTCAATGGTCAAATAGCCCTTATAGTGACAAATTTCTTCACCTTAAAGCTTTAAGAAAAAGTTAACTGAAGGGAAAAGGCTAACCCCACATATTATTTCATTTCTATAGTGAAAAGATCCAATAACACCAATGGTAGCAAATGAAACAATTTCTATGTCCCCCTCATTCATTTCCTTGATCTCACTCTTCTTTCCTTCACTAATTTTCCTTCTTCCTTTCTTTTTGTGTGTTGAGCTCAGGTTCTGGCCTTCAAATTTCACCAGAGAAGACTGCTCAGACATGTGTTTAAGCCAATAGAAAGTCTTTGGTAGCTGGCTGGCAACTACAATGGTGTTTGGAATCCCAATGTAGCTTCAAGACTATTTCATGGTGAGCTTTTTAGCACAAAAACCATGTCCTGGGTTGACATACTTCATGTAACAAGAAGAGTTAGCCATAAGAGGAACTACAGAAGCCAAAAGCAAGGTTAGTGCATTTAAAAGACTTTCCCAGAACTATAGTTTTTTGATGGACTAGGTCTCCGTTTTAAATTTGGAAGATGGTACTGTCTAAATGCTGAGTTATACAGCATGAATGGTACTTCCATCATGGAGTCAGGTCTCTAGGCCTACTAAGACAGAGGCCCACTAATCTTAGTGCATGAGTCAAATAGTGGACTCATCCTGTTCTAAAGAGGTGTAGTTGGTCCGAAGAACCATTAATTTCATTGAACTCATACATAATTGACCAAATAGTTTATGATCAAGTACTTCTCCATTGAACCATTCAGAATGAGAATTAAAGGCCCAGCCAGTGTTAATAGAGTAGTTAGCTAGAGGGACTAAGAGAACAAAGACTGTTACCAATTATTTGTTCTCTCTCTCTATCCCTCTCTTTCTCTCTCTTTCTCCCCTCTCTCTCCTAAATCATGGTGAAAGTATTTTTCTAATTACTTCTGATCAGTTAGCATAGAAATAACAGGTTTTTCCCAATGCCATACACAGTTTCCTTTGTCTCATGGTAAGTCTAAGGCTCTCCTCTAATTTTGTAGGACTATTTTTGCAAGGGAATCTAGCCATTGTTTTAATACCTCTAGGTCCTAATCAACTTGACTACTTAGTTTGGAAAAGCATCAGAAGAGACACAAACCAGTGGTACACGCCCACCAAGTAGTCGCAGGGGCTCAGTAATATTGATTAATTAACCCATAAGTCAGAATAGAAGAGCAGGCATCAGAATAAGGGAAAGTGCCTAGGTTAATGATTTTGGATATTAGACAAGTTTCAGCCCCTTATAAGTCCTCAAATATTAATCTGTCACAGAGAGTTGCCAGTCAATGGCCTGACAGTCTGGTTAGTTCCCATTCCTATGTAGTACAGGAGCCAGGTGTATAAGTATAACCAGCAATCCTGCCTGATTTCTGGCTGTGAGTGATAAACTCTATCCCCAAGGTTCCTTCCTGTGTCATGGAGCCTGATTCCCCAGGTTTTTCCTGTTTACCCAAGGCCAGAATCTTTTTAAAGGAATTTTTCAGGAAGCCTCAGTTTTACAACCCCAGTCTTTACAATGGAAACTCCCTTGTTTCTGGAAACTGGGATGGGGGGTAGCATAGGGCATGCACAGAATTATAAACTCTGTATTCCTATCTCAGAAGACAAATCCTCATCTTTCCTTTTCTCCATACAACCAGACATTTAAAGTGGAACTCAGTGAACAATAATCAAGATGGAATGTGGGTTGCTGGTCTGTAGTCACACTAACTGATACCTTCCCCATATCTGTCTTCCTCAGTTTCCAGTCCAGGCCTGAGGGCAGTGGGGGCTTGAACCAT